AATGTATGCTATACGAAGTTATTACGCAGTTGCTTCGAAACAGCCAAAACAGCATTGCCGCTACGCTCATAACCAGTCATGATGTAAAAATATGTAGAGTCGGAACACGCCGACTCGATATGCCTTGACACCCGTGCAAGTTTATGTGTTAAGGCATTAGTGTGACCAGGTGTACATTTAACAAAACGTATTCACGTAGATTTATTTATTAAAGTAGTAGTAAATAAATCTGCTACGAGTTCTATCAGAAAATTACATTCTATTCAGTAAACTTCTTTTGCTAATAACTTTTTAATAAACAATGATTGACAGCTAACCTTTAAAATATTATTCTGATATTATGAATAATAATCTTGATAAAGTCAAGGTCTTAATCAAGGTCTAGGTCATTCGGAGGATAATTCCTTATTCTCGCCAATTTTATCAAAATTATGTATAAATTAAATATGAATTTCTTACAATTTAAAATTAATTCCAAAACCATATCAATTATCTTTTTTTAAAATATTCTAATCATGTTTCATCGAAATTAAACATATTTAACCCAAAATTTAAATATAATTTATATACATATATTTATATACAGAATATATTTATAAATCAAAGAAGACTAATAAAAAAATAATTTTTTTATCTTTTTCTATAAAGATCACGATTTTTTCGGTTGTACCATCAGTTTTAATACAGCCTGTATGAACACACGAGCATAATATTGCCAGATTTTGTCCATATTTTTATCCATATTGCAATACGCAAAAATATAATAAAAAAAGAAAGATTGCCAAAACAATCACAAATTTACACCTTAAATCATCGAAAATTAAATACACATTTTAGACGATATACGATTATCACAAAATGAGTGTTACCGTGCATTATTAACAAACATGTTTAACGTGTTAGACAAATAATTGTGCATAATGAATTACCTGTGCAGTAGAGCCATCAGTATGGCAATAGGGCTAGCGGTGGAGACACACAATAATAAAATGTAATAAAAATATGCAATAAAAGATAATATTGTGAAATGAAATGTTGGACGGTTGTGCATAGTTTGCTTTGTATATTACAAAGTAGTGATCCTTTTTCTCATATTCTTTGTACGGTATGCATATATCGCATATATCACAAATAATGTGCGAGTAATTTGTGATTTTCAATATCCTATGTATTACATATTTATGTATATCGAGCTTTTCGTTCTTACAGAATGATCCATTTCGAATACTTCAGCGAATTATTTCAAAACTAAACGATATCGAATAGCATTTTAACTGAACGGATTTTGATCCATCTCAGGTTAATTAATGACTATTTTACTATAAATTTAAATCTTTTATTAGCAAAGAAGATGCAATACCATCATTAATTGATCTTGACTCGATCAAAATCTGCTCAGTTAAAAACGCTAGAAGAAAAGTTTTAATAAAAATTTTAAAAGGGAAAAAAGGACATATAATATTTATTATTTAATAGATATTAACTTATAAGTTTTGTAGGTTATTTTAAAGCTAATGGAAACTTTTTAATAAAGACACATCATATATAGGATGTCTCAGAAAGATGGAACAACTACTTGCGTACGGGTAGAGTGCGGTAAACTGAACAGAAAAGTCCTTTACCGTTTTGCAATTTTTACAATAATAAGTGAGATATTAATTAAAAATGATTGACGAATGATAGCGCGGATTACGTGCGGATAGATCATGGGCTGTACGATCTAGGTAGATCAGTGGCGTGTCGCAGGACAACGAAAACAATTGCGCATAGCGAGAGGAGTAACACGCGAGCAGTAAGCGGGCGGAAATAATGCGTGAGGCTGGGTCTCCGTACCGCTGTTATTTTTCGTTGCCGTGTGACATGCTGCTGACCCACATACAGGGTGTCCGGTAATTGTTGAATCACCTTTTGGGTGCAGGTAGAGCAGGTTAAACCGAGTAGAAAAGTCCTCTACCGGTTTGTAATTTTCGTAATAATTAATGAGAAATTAATTAAAAAAGATCAGCCAATTTGCTCGAGTCTAAGCGCGCGGCAAGAAGAGACAGCTCACTGTTACGTGGTCGCTAGGACGCAAGGATCTAGCGTTACGCAACGCTTGTATGTTGCCGTTGTCATTTGTAGAGCGCTCCTTCCAACGCTTCGTCGCGCGCCTAGTAACCGCAAATAATGGTAGGCTGTACCGCCACGGGTCTCTTCTCGCCGCGCTCTTAAACTCGCGCAAATTGGCCGATATTTTAAAATTAATTCCTTATTAATTATTGCGAAAATCGCAAAATAGTAGAGAACTTTTCTACTCGGTTTAACTCGCTCTACCTGCACCCGAAAGATAATTTAGCAATTACCGGACACTCTGTAAATTGTACAGCACGGTCTAGCCGCGTGCAACACTATCATTCATCAATCCTTTTTAGTTAATATCTCATTTATTATTGCAAAAATTGCAAAACAATAAAAGACTTTTCTGTTCAGTTTATCGCACTCTACTCGAGCGTATTGTCCCATCATTTTGAGACACCCTGTATATTTATAATATTTTCTTATATTAATTAAACAAAATAATTTTTATTTAGAACCTTTTTTATTTAGCCAATACTTTTTAGATACACTCTTCGAAAATTCGACAAATTTTCAATATTTAGCTCACAATATAATGATAACAATTCCAATGCGGATTAAAATAGTATAGAATACTTTTTGACTTTGTTTGATATTACAAATATACTGTTACAATAATACAACAATTTTTATTAACATCTTATATTTTAACAGACGCATCATTCAGTAAAAATGTATAAACAGTAACAAAAATTACACTATTAAAACTGATTTCTGAGACCAAACCAAGTTGAAAAATGTCGTAGTACCATATTTTCTTTCGACCAATAGTTGATAAGATATTGTGAGCAAAAAATTAAAAAATTTATTAAAATTTCTTTAATATTTCAAAAAATATATATTAATCAAATAAAAGAATATATCGGATCAAAGTTGTTTGTATTAATAAGTAGAAAGAATTGACACAATAAAAATAAGAAATCTGAATTCTTATTTGTAAAAATAAACTTTTAAATAATTTTACAAATCTAAATTTCCTCAAAAGTGAATCATCATCTTGTTTCTCCCTTCAAATATTCGCTTTTATTTAAAACTCTTTTTCGATATTGCTTAGTTTTCAAGATATTTTGTTGAGTATTTAAAATCATTCCGCGTGTACAGATTTGTCGCGGACAATATTTGGCGATTCTCACAAATTTTATGTTTAATAATCCGACGCTATAAATATTGTAATTTTAAATTTATTTCTTCTATCGTGTGCAAAAACAATTGTGCAAACCAAGACGCATCATGGGCTATAATCAAGGCAGTGCCGGTTGAATAATTTGCAAAAGTGACCATCATTAATGCTGTGCGTAATAGTAAACCGAGTGCTTGTGCAGTGCTCGATTGCAATTTGCAATAACGTATGAATGTGTGAAAGAGTGAGAGACAGGCGTGCACTTTTGCTTACTGCCAACGAGCCACTTACTTTTCATTTTCCTCCTTATGCATTCTTTGTGCCTCTCTTTTATCAAATCCGTCTGTTACTAAAGCATCCAAAACCAAAGACTGCACTAATTTCTTATCACCTGGAATGTGATCGCGTATTAATTTGAGCATTAATTCGAAAATAAATTGGTATTACTCGAAGGATTTAAGATATCTTGTTTGATGTATACAAATTGACATATGAGATAAATCTAACAATGAGAGAATTTTCATTAAAAAATTAAAAAAGTATAAGGGTGATTTATTTTAATTTTAACAGACAAATATTTCGAAAAGTGTGATTTTGGAAAAAAATGTTTCAGACAAAAGTTGCAGGGTTTCAAGGAGGACTAAAATGAATCTAACGAAATTTTTCTAGATAAAGACATTTCGCAGATTTGGAGAGTAACTTAATTTTTTTAAATAGAACTATCCTAATTGTTTTATGTAAATAGATTCTTTGTAACATTTTACATAAAATGTTATAAGAGTAAAATAAGCAACAATGGTTTACGAGATATTTTATGGTATATCAAAATATGTCAGATTAAGATATAAAATATCTCGTAAACCGTTCCATTGTTGCTTATTTTACCCTTATAACTTTTTATGCAGAATGTTACAAGGAATCTATTTACATAACACAATAGGGTAGTTCTATATAAAACAATTAAATTGTCTTCCAAATTTGCGAAATGTCTTTATTTCGAAAAATTTTATTCCATTCATTTTATGTCTTCCTTGAAATTCTGCAACTTTTATCTGAAAACATTTTTTTCCAAAATTATTTTTTCAAAATATTTGTTAAAATTAAAATAAATCGCCCTAATATTTTATGCCTTTATGTAACATTTTATGTAAGTATTTGTTGTTGCTTCTTTAAATCCTTCATTTATAGATAAAACTGATGAGAAATAAGCACTCACAATAATAAGCATCTTTATCCGACTTGCTCGCCTGTTTATGATGCGAGCTAGGACTCCTTGGTCTCAAGGACATCCATTTCCACCCCGGCCTGCGCGTTCGTAATAGAAAGTGCAGGACACGTTCTTCCGGAGAGGAAAAAAACTTATCAGAAGCTGAGCTGTACTCGCAATAAATCCAATCGGGATGCACCTTCCAATTGTTTCCCTTGAAATAGTCTGTTACTGCAATGTAATACATAGCTATTAGGATTGCAACATTACCAAAGACCCATTATTTTCTCTATTAACTTCTAATGTACAAGGTGTGCCAAAAGTGTGAAAACCCCTTAATATTTTAGAAACTAAGCATTTCTGAATGAAATGTTCCATACGAGAGTTGTAGGGTTTTAAGCGCATTAGACAGAAATATCAGTGTAATCTTGGCTAGCGCTATTAAGGTTACGTAAAAATCACTTTGAAATTTTTAAATGAAAACCCCTATTTTTTATTGTATCTTCTTGTAGTTGATCTCAAGAGCTTTTCAAAACATTATAATGAAGTTATTTTTCATTAAGCATTTTCCGAGTTATGAGACTTGAAAGTTAGAGTGAGAGAGAAAGAAACGCGTTGAGCGCAATGCCTCATTCTCTTTCTCTCTCATTCTACCGTAACATTCAAGCCTCATAACTTGGAAAATACTTAATAAAAAATAACTTCATAATGTTTTGAAAAGCTCTTGAGATCATCAAGAAAATACAATAAAAAATAAGGGTTTTCATTTGAAAATTTCAAAGTAATTTTTACGTAATCTTACGTAATAGCGCTAGCCAAGATTACACTGTCTATTTCTGTCTAATGCGCCACTTAAAATCCTACAATTCTTGCATAAAACATTTCTTTCAGAAATGCTTAGTTTCCGAAATATTAAGGGGTTTCCACACTTTTGGCACAACTTGTATACAGGATGTTTTATAATGTCCGTACCAATGCTCGTGTGCGGGTAGAGTGCGGTAAACTGAATAAAAAAGTCCTTTACTGTTTTGCAATTTTTGCAATAATAATTAGATAGTCATTAAAAAGGATTGACGAATAATCGCGCGTTGCGTGTTGCTAGGCCGTAGGCAACACGCTCTAGGCGTGACAGCAACGAGAATCGCACGGCAACGAAAAATAACAACACGTGTTACTCCTGCTCTCGCCACGCGTTGTCATTTTTCGTTGCCGTGTGATCCTGTCACGTCTAGAGCGTACTGCCTACGGCCTAGCAACGCGCAACGCGCGATAATTCGTCAATCCTTTTTAATTACTATCTCAATTATTAT